AAAATTTAACAGCTCAGACAACATATTCTTTGAGTGATCTGAAGATGGTCTGCCAATCCGGCTGTAAGTTCTAGATCAGGGTCATAAAACCTTTTCTATAAAAAGTCAGGTAGTAAATAGTAAGCCTTTGCAGGCCATACAGGTTTGGTGCAACTATTGAATTCTATCGATGAAGTGAGAATACAGTCATAGACAATATGTAAACAAACGGGAAGGGCTGTGTTCCAATAACATTAAATAGGCCAATGGGACAACTGGCCCGAAGGCCACAGTTTGGCATCCACATTCCTGTTCTAGATCAAAAGTTCACTCTTCTACAGCGAACTCGTCTCACAGAAATCATGTCTTGAGACCAACTCAGTTTTCTGTGACATCATCGCCACTCAATTAATAAGATGGTATATCTGCATAGTGCTTTAGTTTTTCAGAGAACTTCCAGGATGATTTATCACATTAGATCCTCACAGAAGTTCCTTGTGAGAAAAAGAGTAGATCATCTTTGTATTGATGAGGAAAAGGTTTAAGTGAATTGTTCCAGGCCAGACAGTTACTAAGGGGCAAAATCTGCATTTTCTAGATATTGGTTTAGTGCATTTTAAAAATACATGGTTACAAACCTTAATTCTACTCCATTGTTCTTCTTAGATTCTGGAATTATTCTTATTCAAACTTTGGTGAAGTGGTATTGTTACCAAAAGTTCGGCCCTTGTCCCCAAGGCCGCATCAGAAGCAGAAGGACAAGTGGTTAAAGAGGAGTTTATTAATTTGCTGGCAAATGAGGATGGAGACACTGTCTGAAATGCCATCGTTCTCCTTCTGAGCAGAAGTATAGAGCTTTTAACGGTTCTTTTTTTTTGAGACAGAGTCCCGCTTTGTTTCCCAGGGCTAGAGTGGAGTTCCGTGGTATCAGCCTAGCTCACAGCAACCTCAAACTCCTGTGCTCAAGCGATCCTCCTGCCTCAGCCTCCCAAGTAGCTGGGATTATAGGCACGTGCCACCATGCCTGGCTAATTTTTTCTGTTTTTAGTAGAGACGGGGTCTCGCTCTTGCTCAGGCTGGTCTCGAACTCCTGAGCTCAAGTGATCCTGCCGCCTTGGCCTCCCAGAGTGTTAGGATTACAGGCGTGAGCCACCGCGCCCAGCCTTTTAAAGGTTCTGATTCATCCCATCTTTGATTAAGACAATCTCTCAACCTCCACCTGGATTAATTCCATCTTCAGCTAAAATGGTCTCATGACTTCCACCCAGACAATTCCCTTGAGCCATCTCCTGTGGCACAAAGAACAAAAGACATTCCTTTGCCCCTCCTGACCACTGGACTGAAGCAGGGATGCAGGTCCTAGTTCTCCAAAAGGAGTGAGGGATATCTTAAAGAAATAAAACATTTTTGCCATTTTTTTCAAGCCATTTCTTGTTATATATTCCCCCGTCAATATAACCCTTCCATATCCATGGGAGGGGAGGTAACTACTCTGTTACAGTATATATTTTTTTGCTTTCTTAAAAATGGTTTTATAGGCCAGACGCAGTGGCGCATGCCTATAATCCTAGCACTTGGGGAGGCTACAGCGGGAGGATCATTTTGAGGCCAGGAGTTCAAGACCAGCCCGGGCAACATAGAAAGATCCCATCTTTACAAAAAATAGAAACATTAGCCAGGCATGGCATGGTGGTGCATGCCTGTAGTTGCAGCTACTTGGGCGGCTGAGGCAGGAGGATTGCTTAAGCCCAGGAGTTTGAGGTTCCAGTGAGCTATGACACCACTGCACTCTAGCAGGGGCAACAAAGAGAGATCCTATCTTAAAAGAAAAAAAAAGTTTTGTGTTACACATTTTCAAGATCTTTAATTTTCTCTTCAAATATAGCTTTTAGCCTCAAGTTGAAAATTCTATTTAGATGGCGCTGACAAAGACTCTCTCCTTTAACCAAAACTTCAGTCAGTCTCCTAAGTCCTTTTTGACTAGGCTTGACCTCGGTCGGGCTTCCTTCTCTGTCCTTGTAGAATCCAGCTGGAACAGCAATTCTGCTGTATCAATTTTTCAAAAAACCTCCACCCTTGATATCTTATCAACCTGGCCAGCCTTCAGCAATAATGCTATGAAGTAATTTTAGGCAGAAACTCCTTATCCTTGATGTTTTCTCTTATTAATTTTCCATCCACTGACCCCAGCCTGCTGCTTGGATAAAAATCTCCACTTGTCCCTACTGGAGTCAGAGTTGAGTCCCATCTCTCTCCCCTAATGCAAGACCCTGCTGCAGTGGTCCCTACACCTATGTCCATGACCCCCTCTGAATAAAGTTCTGCCTTATCATTTTTAGCAAATGTCATAAACAAATTTTTCTCTAACAGTGTTGGATATAAAAAGAATGCTTGCGATGGGAAAAATTGGTAATGAAAAGGGCAAGAACTGAAAGAAAATTGAAGATTTAATTTTCTATTTTAAATTCTAGTCACTCAAAGAGGGAAAATACACTTCCAATTTCAGTGTGAGGAGAGTAGAGAAACAGGATACAAGTCAAAGCCCCATATACAAAGGACTAGCACATGATAGATCTGAATGTATGATTAGTAATAAAGTTTCCTCTGTCAAACCTGGACTTCTATGATAGTCTATGGTAGACTACGTATTTAAAAATGCTAGCAAGGACACCTAATAGTTAAGATTAGATATCACTTGAAACATCCAGAGGAAATCCAAAACCAAATACAAGGTTTTTAAAACACAGTAATAGGTGTCCACCTCTATCATTAAATACTGAATCTGTTTTCTTTTCTGTAAAATGTAATAATTTTTTCCTGAAAATACTGCCCACAAAGCAAGTAACACAATATGCAGGGCAAGGTCTCACTTAACGTAGCTATTTAACAAAGTTTGCACTTATGAAGAAAAATAAAACCTATACTGACACTTCACGAACCACGAGTTAGCAGCTAAACAAGTCAAAGAACAGTTCCATGCCCAAGCTTCTATTTATCCTTGTTCAGCTGGCGGTAAATGGCAGGTCCTAAGGAAGGGAAGTTTATAAAGTATGAGTTGTTCCCTCGAATCTGCCCAGCTCACCCCACTTCATGTGTTTTTCCCAGTTACTGCCCTTTTCTCAAGTCTGAATAAAACCATTCAGCTCTCTACACTTTCTCCAAGATACTAAAAAACGAAAGGATTTTCAAACTAAGATAAAATTTAGTTTCTATACTTTACTTCTTTCAGATCTTGATTTTTAAAAACAGATTCTGATTGGAACAAAATAGCTTTGTGTCCCTTTTAAAGGAATTTCAGAAATCACATGATCAAACAGTAAGCAGTTGACTTGCAAATTTGTGGCTGCTGGTAAGGGGCTTCTGTAGTTTGAAAAAATATATTCTAAAAATTACCATTGTTTTTGTCATAGTATTTATTTTAAAATTCCAAATAATACTAAAAAGAGTATGAGCATTTAAAAAAATTAGAGAAACATTGCCCTAGACTTTTGTGGAACATAGAACTGTAATCTTTCATCAGTATTTTGCTGTGCCTGACTATAAAAATACAGATGGCACAGCTCTTCTATAGCTTTAACAACTTGATTATAAACTGCTTTCAAAAGTAATTTATTTGGATTTTCCCTATCCTTTAATGAATTGCAAATATATTAACAGAAAAGACTCCCCCCCAAGACTGTACAATTTCTGAAATAAGTCAGGAAAAGCAAAAAGACACAAAATTACATTGTTTCAACGCAAATAGAATACACACATCACACCCATACTTGCATTTTCCCAGGTTTTCACAAAGAAAACGGGTCACCGTATTTCTCAGTGAAGATCCGTACTATACTCTAATCAGAGACTTCCAAACTTTTTTCTTTAAAAAGAGCATTTTTAATAGACTAAATACTGGTTATCACTGAGTTTTTGTTTAAGGTACAACAGCAGCATGGTTCAAATGTTACTTGCAGTTCTTGGAAAAAATAAAAATTTTAAAGTAATGAAATACAGAAAAAGTAGGGACCACCTTTCATTATTTTGAGTACCATTGTTCTCTTGAAAAAATATTCCAACCTTCTAAAATCCCAGAGTTAAGAACCATTTCCAAGGGGAAAAATAAATCCAATGCCACAACATAACTTCTGAATAAAAGTGTGCGTGTGTGTATATATACATGTATGTATATGTGTGAAACAGAAAAAAGGATGTCAAAGTACTTAGTATTTTTAATTTCCTTCAAAGTAGCTTCTGAAATTTGAAGCAAACATTTTGCTTGACCAAAATATGTTCTTCTGGTTGTTTGATCCCCATTCATGCAAAAAAAAAGAAAAAGAAACGAAGGAAAAAAAAAAAGCCAGAAAGAGTTACTAGGTGGAAAATAAGGCTTCAAATTCTAAATGTCTTTGAAAGTAGGTATGAGGAAAAACGAAATCAGGCCAAACTCGGGCTGAAAGTGTCCCTCAACCAGCCATTGCCATGGTGTGCCTTTCACAACTACCTTTTTATTCTTGGTCTCAAAATCAGTATCAGAAAAGACTTGCAACCTCTGGCACAAGACATAAATTCCTAGTACAAAAAGATACCTAATTATACTCTAGCAAATTATGTTCTAAGCTTAGCTTTCCCCAGGCTTTGTAACACAGAACTCAGGTGGAAGCTTTCTATGAAACTCTAGATTTAATACTGTTATACAACTGACTTATGATTTGCCAATTAAAAAAAATAAAAGAATCTCAAATTAAATATTATAGAACTAATGGATAATAAAATGGAATATTTGTTAGAATTCAAGTGCTAGCCTCTGGGAATTTCTAATAATATTCACTTATTCCCAACTTTTCCTTTTCTTTATCAATTATTCTTTCAGACAGCACATACACATAGATTTAGGTAGGAAATTTTGTTAAACACCTCTCTGGCACCGAATACCTAATCCAATACTCTGACTTGAATTAATTTATAATGGTATCTAATCCATGTTCAAATAAAAAGGTTAACAGTAAATGATAGAAAATTACTGAGTCTACAGGCTAAAATTTTTTTCACATCTCTTGTAATCCACCTTATTTTCACAGCTTCACTAACAAATACAGATAACCAATAGATAAGTTTGTCCTTCATCGAATAATCCAAAATAACAATTGTAGGCCTGTCATTCTTAAGAAAGTATAATTCGTTATATTCTGACATTGGCACTTAATAAAATGTTAACAACTAAAGTTTCTCTAAAAATTTCAAACATTACAATAAAGGAGATACACAATTTAAGACTGTTTAAATCTGTACTGTGAAATTCTGATAATTCCCATTTTATATGCATAATTAGATCTTTAAAATCATGGCCATTTCCCAAAGACACCAACCTATTATGACAAACTCAGGAAAGAACTTGTCTTCTTCATAAGAACGTTTTTTTTCCCCACCTAAAAATTTCCAACATCCTCAATACCCGATCACTCTCAGTAAACGTTTTGGTGACTCACATTAGTGAAAATAATCTGAAGCAGAGAGCCAAAAACAATGGAAATTACCTCAACCAAGGGTAATCACACATTCTTGCACTCGGCTTAAACACTCAGAAAAGTCAAAGGGATGCTGTCTTGAACAAATATAGCTTCAAGGTTATGGTACAATTCCGATTGTATTAAGGCTTTCACTATCATGATCTCTTAAAGTCTCTCCACTTTAGTGTTCTCATAGTGATTCTTATGGTGATCTTACACGGATATTAAGGGCCTTGTGTTGGCTTTTCAGTGGGGAACCACTCTGTCATTTCTGAATGTTAAAGGTGATCCCACAGAGCTCAAAGAGAAGAGGCAATATGGTAAGGACCAATTTTAAAGTTTGCAATACCAAGACAACAATGATCAACACTTTGAAGCAAGATGAATAAATTAAAATTCTTGGTTAGACGTTAAAGCATTCTTGCCAAGAATAAGTATACATTATATGGAGGGATATTTGATTCCTACATACGAGTCCCAGTATGCCCATGACATTTGTTTATAGGAGACACTGCAAGTTTAAGGTAATTTACATTCCTTGGCAATCAAGTTACTGTTATAGGCAATGTCTTTTATTGTTCCATCTGGCACTTGCTAACACCATTCTTGAAGAACCTAGAAATGAAGGTCAGTCACTCTGTTTATCAGGAACAGAACCAAATAAAAACAAATTTTTGGAAAAATGACCAAGAAATTCTGGTTCATCACTGTTTTCCATATCTAATGGTTCCTTCAAGATAAAACATAACTCTTCCTTCCATGACAGCTTTCCAACAAAGGGAGATTAAAGAAAAAAAGAAAAGAAAGTTCCCCACCCTTCCCCCCTCAATTGTCATTCATACTGGTAAAGGAACCAGTCTTGTTAGCAGCTAAATATTGCACTGCCTTTCATTCTGTGTATAGTCAGGGTCCATTGAAAGTGGCACACTCATGGTCTAAGTGACGGATGATGACAATGCCGGCTTAAGAGTGAAGACTCAGTATATGGAGGGACAAGAAACATGTCAGCACTAGTCACACATCCAGTTGCAAAAGTCTGATTTCCAGAAGTTAAAATTCATCACTTTCAGCTGCATGAAGTTGTGTGTCATCTGCATCTGTCATGCTGCTCTCCTGGGATTCATCTGTTCCCACTTTAAAAATAAAACAAAAGTCTATAGTAAGGTATCTGGCAAATATAACTTGTTGGTTTATGAGAATAAGGAAAACTGTATTCTATTCAGAAAGATAAGACCCTAAATAAAGTCCCTTAAAAATCCTGATATCCTTTAATAAAATGCAATTCAAGTTCCTTATTTTACAGCAGGTCTGAGAAGATTAGTTTATTGCATTTTACCTTTAAAGTTTTAACTACTAAAACTGCCTCTCCCTAATGAATTCCCTATTCCTACCCTAGGAATTAAAACTAGCTAGCTCTCTAGACATAAAAAAAGACTGACATTTCTTTCCCCAACCTCTAAATCATTGATTCTACTTTGAGGATACTCCC